CATGGCCAGAGTGCAGGTGGAAATGCCTGCAGGGCTGGGGGAAGGGCCCAGCAGTGCTCCCTGAGTGATCCAACTGGGCCCAGGTTAGGACTGAGCTAGGGGCTGCAAAGGACGAGGGCTGGAGCTGAGGCCACAGCTCAGAGTCTGGTCTGTGCTGAGCCAGCCAGTGTGGCAGGGGTTTGCTCTCAGGTCACCGTGGCCGCTGAGCTGAGGTGCTCTGCAAGAAGTCAGGAGGAGGGTTGTCCGTGCAGCAATATCTCCAGCAGCCAGAGCCCAGAGCCCCTCTGCGCCTATGCCACGCCCAGAAGAGCCAACGGGCACTCTGGTGCCATGGCGATGCCACCACTGCCAGCCTTCCCAGCTCCGTAACCATGGGAATGTGCACAGGACCTCAGGCTGATTATGCAACGCCTTTGAGGGAGGGAGACACCCAGGCCCTGACCTACTCCCAGGGATGGCAGTGGGGAAGCCAGAGCCCAAGCAAGTTCCCACCTGTTCCCCCCACCAGGGAGGGAAGCGGCAGGCTGACAGTCACACAGCCCCTACGTCACGTGCACAGCACCCTGCCAGGGAGGGGATAACCATGAGGAGAAGACCGGAGAGTTGGAGGGAAGGAGGGATGGCATGGGGGATGGGCAGAGAGCACTCTGGAGAATTCTGACAGATGGGGCTAGGCCATCTGCACGCCCGTGGAAAGCTCTGGCCACCTCCGGCCAGCCCTAAGGCCCAGATGTTTGGTATCATGGAGACCGGGCAGCTGCCTGATGGGCTGCTCTGTTGCTTCCCTGCAGCTGAAATCTGGGGCCTCATAAAGGAAAAAATGCAGAGAGACAGAGTGTGTAAGAGCAAGCCAGAAGAGAAAAATCCACGTGACAGTGTCATACAGATGAGACAGAGCAGACTGTCAAAAAATAATATCTGCAGTTTCCTGTTGGTTTCCAAAGCCTGGATCTGCCCCGAAGGCAGCCCTGTTCCTAACAGTTCCAGGTCTGGGCCTCTGGCAGCCCCAGAACTGGGAGGGTGAAGCCATGGCAGGATGGCTGGACTGGTTGCCCGGGACCCGGAGGGCAGGGGCCAGTGCCTGGGGCTTTCCAGGCTCCTGCTCCAAGCCCTAAGCCCTCTCCACCCCACCCTGTCTGGACTCTCCTCTATGCATCCCGTCCTCCTGCCTCCATGCATCCTATCTCTGCCCCAGCCTCCTCTTTGCAGCCCCCAGGCTCCTGCAGCCCCCCTCACCCACTTCATGGCTGGAGGCTCTGGCTCCAAGGCCTTCCTTGCCCTTCGACTCCAGCCTTCATCTTGGGTGACGGCAGTGCTCAGGCTGACGACCTGTCACCCAATGACCTTGCAGTCCCTGCCTTCTTTCTCTCAGGGACCTCCGTGACCCCCAGCACACACCCCCTCCCATGCCAACACGGAGCCCCATGCTACTGCTAGAAGTCACACCAGCCGTGCTGCAAAGCATCCTGTTCTGACCACACCCTTCTGTCCTCCCAGAACTCTTCCTCTGCACCTCCACCCAGTTTCCACCTAATACTCCATTCCCTTCCAGCGGACCCTCCAGCAGGGACCCTAAGGCTTTGTGCAAATGCTCTCTGACAAATACCTAGAAGTTCCGCAAGCCTTGGCCTTTGGGGCAAAACCCAGCCCTGAATAAGCGCCAGTCAGTTTTGTCTGTGCCAGACATCCCACCCAGAGAAAGTGGCCTCGCCCCAGGTTTCCGCTCTCAGGGGAGCTCCCTCCCACACGGCCTGGCCACGGCATGTTATCCTTCTGCTGTCCCCCCTCCGCTGCGGCTGCTTCCAGTCTTCTTCACTCTCGAGACCCACCCACCGTGCCCTCCCACCCCCTGGCTCCCACCACAGCAGGCCGTGAACCCACCCTCATGATGAATGCAGGAGCCAGCAGCCGCCCTCCTTCGCCTGCACACCCCCAGGCCGCACACCCACCTGCCAGCCTTTGGAGCAGAGCCCCTTTTCCCAGCCAAGACCCCCACGCTGGGTTCGGGGCCTGCCTCCTCACTCCTTCTCGGCCACCCCCTCCACGACATGCCCCCCATTCTTCAATGATCCCACATCCACTTCTAGTAATTTCTGGGCTATCCTCTTACCACAAAACTAAATGACTCCTCCTTTTCCCCTCTGGCTCCCCCCGCCCTCCCAGCAGAGCCTGGATAATGGGTTGGTAAAGGCTGGTTCTCCTGCACTGCCCCAGCCGCTCCCTCCGCACCCTGGAGCCCAGCCTCCCAGCCCAGCCTCTGACAATCCGCTCTTGCTGTGTGCTGTGCTTCCGAATCCGCTCTTAAAGGCTGCTCAGCAGCACGCAGCCAGCTCGCCAGCCCCTCGCTGGGACGCTCTTTGTTTGGGCCCCAGGATCCCACAGCCGTCTGGTTCTCCTGCCACCTCTCTGGATACTCCTTCCCCCGGCTCCCCACACGGCCTCCTTGGGGGGCCCCTGCTCCCCCGTGGGGTTGTGAATGTGTGGCTCCCTCCAGCTCAGCTCAGTCCCCGTCTTGTCCTGATCCGCACTCTCACTTCGGGTGGCCTCAGCCATGCCCTTGGCATCAAACGCCACCAATGTGCCGGCCACTCAAGAACCCCCCTTCTGAGCCACGCCTCGCTTCTCACTCCAGCCACTCCTGGGCGTCCTGCTGGCTGTCTCAGTGCATCCCAGTCCCAACGTGGCCAGACTGAGCTCCCGCTCTTCCCTGGAAAGCTTGCTCCTCTCTCTCCTCATTCCCGTAGGCTTCTGGGAAGCCTCCGTCCATCTTCTTGCTCTCACACAGCCTCATCCCTGAGTTAGACAACCCCGGGTGCCATCCTTGTCTTCCACCACCCTCACCCTAGCCCATGCCTCCATTTCCAGTCTTCCTGCTTCCAGCGGAGGTCTCTGCTGAAATTCAGCCTTTGTACACCAGCCAGGTGGACCATGTAGAACACTAAGGCTCATCACATCACACACTTCAGCAGCTCTTGGGATGAAACCTCAACATGGTTTTCCTGACCCTGTGTGATCGGGGTGCTGCCTGCCCTATGCTCCCCTTTTCTAGCTAAGATCCAACTACAGTAGCTGATATTCATCTCCTCCCACGCCAAGCTCCTTCCCACCTCGGGGCCTTCGCACATGCTGTTTCCTCTACCTGGGATTTTCAAATCCACTTCTTTGCCTGGTCAACTCGTTCTCATGGTTCCAACCTCAGCTTAGCTGTCACTTCCTCCAGGAAGCCTACTTATTTTTCACACTTCCAGTCTAGGTCTGGTGCTCTGGATACTTGTTCTGCCAATACTTCGCCGCTCTTTCTGCATCTGTCTCCATTATGATGTGATTGCTTGGATGGTGTGCTTGTCTCTCTGCCACACATCTGTCATGCTTGCGGCCAGCCAACATATTCCCATCGCCCTTCTTGTGTCTGTGAACCTTGCCACAACAGGAGGGCCCTCTCCGGGCTAGAGGTCTGAACTTGCTATACCTGCCTTCCGTGCAGCTAGGGGGCGGGGTCACTGGACTGTGCCATCAGGGGTGACTGTGGAACTTAGATCTGGAGGAGAGCAATAAGAGGGAGCTGGTGCCAGGTGGAATCACATCTTTGCCAGCATGGGAGGGAAGGAGTTTGGCTTTTCAGGACAGCCATGTGGTGGTTCTGGCATTCTATTCCCTGTGTTGGTGGTGTAAGCAGCTGTGTCTATGACCAAAAATGGTGAAATGAGGAATTTGCCACAGTGGCCCCTGGTGTGGAAGGGACACTGCCTCTGGGCCCAAGCTCGGGCCCTCCTGGAGACAGGGAAGCTACCCGATGTCCCTGAATCTGTCATGTTTTTGCTTAGCTCAGCCAGAGTGGGTCCAGCTGTCTGCAACAGAGAGCCCTAAATAATCCCTTCTGTATCAGTCAGGGCTCTGCAGAGAATGAAACCAACATTTTACACACACACACACACACACACGCAGTAGAAAGAGCTTTATTCTGTGGTATTGACTCATACAATTATGGAGGCTGAAAAGTCAATCTGCCCTCTGCAAGCCAGAGCCCCCGGAGGGCAGGTGGTGTATTTGAAGGCCTAAGAACCAGGATCCGGAGGGCAGAAGAGAGATGTTCCAGCTCGGTAGCCAGGCAGAGAAAGCTCAAGTTTAACCTTCTGACTTCTTTTTTCCTCTCCATACCGTCAAGGGCCGGCTGGTGCCTGCTCACTGGTGAGGGCCATCGCTTTCCTCAGTCTGCCAGTTCTAATGCTAAGCCCTTCCAGAAACACTGCCACAGACACACCCACAAACAATGACTAATTGGATATCAAATACCTGCGGTTCCCGTGGTCAAGTCATGTTGACATGTAAAACTGGCCATTGCCAACCAGACCCTCAGCCCCTTGCATAGAGGAACATTTGCGAGTTGCTTGTAGCTGTATTTTCAGACTCCAGCAAGGCGCCTTCCCCCAGGTACTCAGTGAACACTCACCACATGCAGACCCACAGCCCTGGCAGGAATACCCAAGAACGATGAAGCCTGGACCGGACCCCACCCTCCTACACAAACCTTCCTCCAAGTATTGCTCTCTAAACTGAGATCAGCTCCATTCCACTTCCTGCCCAGCAGATGGTGGGAAGGGACCACTGTGCAGCCTGGCCTGTTGGGGCTCTAGGGTCTACATCCCCTGCCTAAGTCCCCTCGTCCAGGAAGCCTTCACTGACTGCTCCTGCCCACACCTACACCCGGTCCTCGGAGCTTCCATATCCCAGAGGGTCCGATCCCAGCAGGCCAGTTCTCATCTAGGTTCAGGCTCATCCTTGTGGATCTTCCCAACTTTTCTGGGGGCTCTCTGGAGACAGAGAACGGGCCCTTCATTTTCCTCTCTCCTCCTCTTTCCCACAGAGGAGCCTGAACGTTTAACAGGGGAGAAGTCCAAGTTTCTTTCTTCTCTTTAGTAAGCTCTCCTCCCAGGACCTGCAGGGAGGCTGGCTGGAAGGACAGCGGGGTAGGTGGCGGGGAGCCGTCCTGCAGAAAGCCCGGGGCCCAGGGAAGGCCCTGTGCTCTGGATCTTAGGCGGGCTCTAGTGGACCCTGATCCTCCTGTCTCTTCAGTTCTCCCTCTTCTTAATCTGCTTCTTATTCATCAGCACTGGGGCCTGCAGGCGGAGGGGGAAGTGGAGATGTCTTGCTCCTCCACGCCCCTGCCAGGACCCTCCCTCCCCACCTAAGCAGCCTTGGCTCGCTGAGCCCCAGGCAGGCCGCTGGAGTCCTGCGTGCACGTCCAGCATCAGCTCCTGCAGGCAGCACCGCCGGCCCAGCCAGGGCTCTTGGCTGCAGTTAGACTGCCACCTGGTGGCCGCAATGAGCATTGCGCGTCTCAGCCCCACTCCTTGCCGGCCGTCCGGTGTCCCTGGTGAGACTCCGAGACGTGGCCTGCCGAGCAACCTGCTCCCCTTCCCGCTCAGATGTGGAAGCTGGAGCCCTGAGAGAGGAAGAGCTTGCCAGTCAAGGGATCTTTCCAGGAACCTGCATCCTAGGCCCAGTCTGCGAATCCCTGTCACGGAAGAGAAAAGTGACAGGAGTTTGAGGCTCCAGTTGAAACTAAAAGGGAGCAAGTGGTGAACTTGCAGCCATTGTGAAGCCTCTAGGCGAGGGATGGACAATTCACAGGGGGAGCGGCTTCTGTCTGCTGCCAATGCCACACACTGCCAACGCTGATGGCCAACTAGCCACTACTAACATTAACACCAACCACTCACTGCTAACTAACCACTACCACTAACTACCTCTAACTACCGTTAACTGCTAACTAACCAGTAACACTAACCACTAAGTAACGTTAACTAACAGCTAACTGCCAAACTAACTGGTAAATCATTAACACAAACGACTAACCTTAACTAATGCTAACGACTAGCCACTAACCCTATCAACTGCTAACCACTAAAATTAATCACAACTAAATGAGCACTAACCAAGCTAACACTAACTAGTAACTACCACTATGCTAACACCATTACTACTGCTAACACCAGTTAAAACTCAGAGAAACAAATATTAATGCCAGCCGGGCACAGTGGCTCACGCCTGTAATTCCAGCACTTTGGGAGACTGAGGCAGGAGGATTGCTTGAGCCCCAGGAGCTTGAGACCAGACTGGGCAATATACTGACACCCATCTCTACAAAAACGTTTAAAACCAGCCAGTACAGTGGTGCATGCCTGTAGTTCCAGCTGCTTGGGAAGGCTGAGGCAGAAGGATCACTTGAGCCTGGAAGGTTGAGCAACAGTGAGCTGCGATGGCCTCACTGCACCCCAGCCTGGCCTGCAGAGTGAGACCCTGTCTCAAAATACAATAACAATGCAGAAAAACCACCACACTTAAATTGTTTGTGCAAGAATTCTCTAGACCAATTTTCTGGGAGGCAATTTGCCAACAGGTACTAAAAGACTTATGTGCATTGCATTTGTTCGAACATTCTTCCACGTTAGGAGAATTTATTCTGAAGGTCTAGGAGTTTAAATTTATGTCTTTTTAAGGTGTACATGGAAAAAAGTATGCAAGGAAGTTTACCATCACACATTGATTTTTTAAATTGAGAGAAACTTTCACCAATATGTTAAATAACTATTGGCTAAATAAATAATATTATATAGACTTTTCAAACTATGTAGCAGAAAAATTGTAAGTATTCTCCAGCAAACCCCCATTTACTCATTTTTAATAACTGCTTTATTGAGATAATTCACGTACCATAACATTCACCTGTTCAAGTGTATGATTTAGTGGTTTTCATGTATTCCCAGAGTTTGCAACCATCATCACTGATTTTAGAACTTTGTATTACCTCAAACAGAAAAGATGGAGCTGTCATCGCATCATACAGATACTCCACATTTTGCTAATTCATAAGTTGATGGATGTTCAGGTTATTTCCACTTCTTGGCTACTATGAATAATGATGTTATGAATATTCATATACAAGCTTTGTGTAGATGTGCATTTTCAATTCCCTTGCCTATGTACCTAGGAGTGGATTTTCTGAATAATTCGGTGTTTGACTTTGTGAACAACTGTGCAACTTTTTAGCAAAGCGCCTGATGATTCTACAGTTCCACCAGCAATGTACGATTTCCACACATTCTTGCCAATTTTTGTTATTGGCTATTTTGTTTTTTTAGCCATCCTCATGGATGTGAAACAATATTTCATTGTGGTTTTAATTTACCTAGTGACTAATGATACTGAGCATCTTTCATGTGCTTATTGGGCATCTGTAGATAATGTATATTGTTTTTATGCAAACAATTCATATGCAATTTTATAAATATATGATCTCAAGATGTTTCCAAAACAAAGAAAAAAAAATCTTTCAGAAACATACAAAAGAATCAGTGGTGAATGTCTGGGTAATAAGATGATGATCGAGTTTTTAAAAAATCCTTTGATACCTCCTAAATGCCTGCCATGAATATGAATTACTTTCATGGTTTGACAGTGAAGGAAGGAATGCATGATGGGTTTTCAGACTGGGCCCACACTTTGACATTTGTCTGACCAGGAAGGTGCCAGGCAGCCGGGCGGCATGGGCGACAGTGTGACCTTGGGCAGCTTCACGTAGGTGCGTCTCCATTCCCTGGAACTCTCACGACTGTAAGGGAAGAGGCTGTCCATCCACTGCCTCCATCAGAAGCACATTTGTGCACCAGCAAGGGTGAGGGATGCCTACTCCTTCTCCTCCCAGTGCATGAGGAAAGAAACCTGGTCCAGGCAGACCATGGAGGACAAGCTAGATCCTCCATGCAGAGGACAGGGCCAGCATGCAGGGATCACAGAGAAGGGAGGCTCCCAGACAAGGGCCAGGACAGGCAAACGGCACCTGGCAATCAGCCCAAGTAGGCAGAGGCTGGAGGGGAAGGTTTGGACTCTCAGGGTAGTCGGAGAAAGGAGCAATGGCCAGAAAGGCTAATTGTAGTAAGGGAAGGCTTCCTGGAAGTGGGGGAAATGGAACTGAGTTTTGCAGGACGGGTCTGTTGTGGGTAGACCAAGAAGGGGGAGGTTTCACTCCAACCTGACTATGTCGGTTTCTGCCTGTTCTCTGTACTGGAATCTCCCGCCACCATTATCAGTCAATAAGCAGGTCCCCACAGACAGAGCCCAGGTCTCCTTCTCCTCCCCGCTGCCAAGAAGGAGAGTGGAAGAGGGACGGACTCTACAGATGTGTTACATTAAAGGAGTCCTCACTTGGGTGGGAGACAGCAGGCAGTACACTGGGACCCAAGAGGACACACAATGGGGAGGACATAAAAGAAAGGCCTGGAGTTCCAGCATCTCCACCCCAGAGAAAAAGAAGGAAAGAGATGCAAGCAATTTTCAGAAGAAACGCAAAGGCCAAGCACGTACAGCAAGAGATGTTTACACCCATTAGCTTTCAGGAAGATGCAAATTAAGACAACAGTGCCATGGTACTTTACACCATTTGGGTGGCGAGCATTAAAAAGCCATGTAATGCCAAATGTTGGTGGGGCTGTGGGATTTAGGAAGCTCAAGAGCTGCTGGTGGTAGTGCAGATCTGAAGCATGCAACCTGGCATCGCCTAATCATGAAGGACACCCAGCACTGCCCCTCCTGGATGTGAGTCCTGGACAGAGGCTCACTCTCACAGGTCCAGGAGGAAACCGGCATGTGCATGTTCACTAGAGCACGGGGGACACAGGACAGGAAGACATGGGCGGTGACTCCACGCAGCTCCACATGCAGCCAAAACGATGGATCAGATGTGCGCAGGGCAACACGAGAGCATCTTTTTTTTTTTTTTTTTTTTGAGATGGGGTTTTGCTCTTGTTGCCCAGGCTGGAGTGCAGGGTGCAATCTTGGCTCACTGCAACCTCCACCTCCTGGGTTCAAGCAATTCTCCGGAATAACTGGGACTACAGGCGCCTGCCACCATGCCCAGCTAATTTTTTATATTTTTAGTAGATACAGGGTCTCACTATGTTGGCCAGGCTGGTCTTGAACTCATGACCTCAAATGATCCACCCGCCTCGGGCTCCCAAAGTGCTGGGATTACAGACCTGAGCCAATGCATACAGCCCAAGAGCATCTCTTAAAAGCGCAGTGCTGAGGGGGAGAAATGTTAGAAGCAGGATGAGGCAAGTGACCAACAGCATTGATGTAAATTAAAGTACAGACACACAAAACACGTATTTTGCAAGACACCCAGAAACACAAGTATTCACATTAAACATGCTTGCTTGCCTGTGAGAGGAGGGGAATGGGAGCAGTGATGAAGACAAAAGAGAGCACAGTTTAAGAACAAATAAAACAAGAGGCCCTTTGCACAGATAAATAATCAAAATGTAGCATGAACTGAGGAACGATGAACGCAACTCAGCACCAGCCGTCCAAATAAAGAATGCAGGTGCACTACCCTTTAGCGGCCATTTACTCACTCAAACATGCGTCTATTCATTTACAGGTTTATTGGCTCCGCTAGCCTTGGGCTAGAGCCCCAGGCCTATAGCCTGGGCTATGGATGAGAACAGACACAGAGGGACCACAGAAGTCAGAGGCAGACCTCGAAAGAGAGTCGGGGCAGAGACAGGGAGGATAGGGCTGCCCCTGTCCCGGGCCGGGATGGGGCTGTGACCTGAAGGTCCCTGGGGGCCCCCTTGCTCCTCCAGAGTGTGGTGAATGCATAATAGCTGCCCAAGTTCAAGTGTGGACTCCAGGGGCATGATGGGGCAGCCTAGCACATAGATGTCAGCACCTTCGCTGCCGAGCGGGAAGGCGCGATCCACTTAGTGTGGGTCCTCCGGGCTGGCAGGAGCTTAGGGTCATGGCCATGCCACTTCCGTGAGATCTCAGTCCTCACCTCCAGGGACAAGGAAGAGGATGTTAGGAAGGTCCCCATGGGGCTTTGCTACTCAACCCCAATAAGTCTCAGGTACAGGGAGAGGCCGTGTAAGAGAAACAGAGACATGGGGCAGGAAAAGCCATGCTTAGCCACAGGCACTGCTAAGTACTACCTCTGGAGGATACTACTTCCTCCTTCCTGTGAGTATTTCTCACCATTCTTTCAGCTCCTCTCTCTGCCTTTTAGCCCTGCCTTTGTCTGAGCCCAGTTAAAGGCATTTCTGGGTGCTTTCTTGAGTTCCTGGCCAAATAACCACCCTGTTCCTTCTGAATCACTTAGACCACTCCTTGCTCTGGGGCTTAATTTTGTGAGCTCAACTCTGGCCACTGTGAAACCTGTCCAGAGGACGTCACCTGAAGGGAGAGAAGATTCAGAACTCTGTCTGCGGGGCTTCAGTTGAGGGAACTGAAAGGAACTGAAAGAAAAGTAGCCTAGGGCAATGTGGAAGGGTGGGATTGGAGGGGGCGCTGTCTGTATCTTTTCATCTCCAAGGGGCTTTCAGGGGCACGGGGTGTGGAGAGACTGCCCCATGCAGTAGAGCGGAACTACAGTTGTGGTGCAAGATGAGGAATCGGATGTCTGTTCAACACAGAGACAATCTATGTGGGACACAGCTGCCTGAAACAGAAAGAGCTATTGCAGGGTAGTAAGCTCCCCATCACCAGAAGTATGTAACCACCTGGTCTGCAACATTGCTTCCTAAGACAGCTCCCCTCCCTACCCTCTGTGGAAACACTTTTTCCACACCCCACCAGCCTCAGCCTGGGCTGCTGCTTGCCCCACCCAGGACCCCCAGGGCCCATGGTCTGCTACACCCAGACACCAGATAAGGCTGCATGGGACTTAGAGAGGCCTGGTGAGGAGTGAAGAGAGGGAGAGGAGAAGGAGCAGTCAGGGACAGAAGCGAGAGATGAGATGGGAGCAGGGAGCAACACTCCACAGTGAGGGACACAGGGCACCTGCGGCCAGGTCTCACAGAATACAGAGCCCCTGGCAAATCCATGGCCAGCAGAGGGAGCACAGGGGCCTGCAGGTGCACAGAGGTGGAACTTGGGAGCCTAGGGCATTGAGATCAATTCTCCCCAGCCCCTCTCCCCAGAGCAAGACTGTCCTAAGGGGGAGATTTGGAAATTCACAGTGTCTCCTGGGTGGAATTCACTTCGAGCCGGTCTCTGGCATCTTTCCACATGTCCACGTGTGCAGCAGCACCATCTGTTCTGTTTTTTCATGTCTGTCTCCCCTTCCATCCATTCTCTTTGTGTGTCTGTTTCCTTCGCGTGCTGTTTCCCAGGCTCCAGATCTTCCTCTTTGTCTCTGCATCTGATTATTATCCTAGTTCCCTGTATGTTCACCTCTGACTTGCCTGGCTCCTCTATCCATTCTCTCTGATTGCCTCTCCTTCAGCTGGCACACTCCCTCCCGGGCTCCCTTTATGTTCAATTTTAGAAACACAGAATTGGGGGATTCCTTCTGACTCCCTACCCTAATCCCGCTCCTGATCCCTGAAAAGCTGCCTCCATCTCCTGAAGAGTGGCTAGTAGAACTTGGCCCAGCACAGAGAAGGGATAGATAAGAGATGTTTACAGGAAGCATTCAAGTTCAGCTTGATCCAGAAGCTCAGGACAGACTACCACAAAGGCTCATAGGAGTCAAGGTGTGGCCTGAGCTGGGGTTTACAGGGCCTGAGTGGGGGAGAGAAGGAGGGGCCTTAGGTCTGGTGGGAGGGGGACTCCATGAGGGATATCCTTGAAAGTCACACACCTCTTGGTTGAGGAAGCAGTAGAGGATGGCAACGATGAAGCCCTGTGTGGCCAAAGAGGAAAGACCCCGTCAGAACACTTTGGCCTGGCCTCAAGGTGTCCAGTCTTCCTGCTGCTCTTTCCCTACTCACCCCCAGGCTATGGCTTGGGCCAGGTCTGATTGAAATGGGAATTTTGATGCATTCATTACTTACTATGTGCCAGGAATATTGTCTCATAAAATTGTCATAGCAAGCCTGCCAGGGCTGTACTGTTGGCCTCATTTCTCTGACTTTATTTCTGCATCCCTTATGGATGAGCACAGCATTTGGCACATAATAGGGGATCAGTAGGAGCCGAATAGATTGGATGGATGGATGGATGGATGAGGGGGTGGATGGATGAATGGATAGATGGGTTGGTGGGTGTGTTGGTGGGTGGGTAGATGGATGGATGGGTGGATGATGGATGGGTTAGTGGGTGGATGTATGGATGATGGATGGGTGGGTGGATGAACGCATGCGTAGTTGAATAAATAGAGAGATAGGTGACTGGAAGATGGACAGACAGTTTAATAGATGGATGAAAAAGAATAGCCCTCACCCTGTCATGAACCCAGCCAAGGCCTGTGGGCAACAGCAGCTCCCTTAGCACCTCCCATGGAGAGAAAGAGTGCCTGCGGGGCCCTCACCTGGAAGGAGCCCAGTCCCAGCTCCAGGGGGAGGCGGATGCCCAGGCCGACATTGTCAGGCAGGAAGTTGAAGATGATGTAGTGAATTCCAAAGAGTGGGATAAGAAAAAGTGTCGACTTGGAGAGACGCCTGCAGGAAAGACAAATCCTGGGCTCCCAAGGCTGGCATAGAAACTGTCATGTGCACTTCGTCTTCTCTCACTTCCTGCCACCTCCCTACATCCACTGTGCGGACCAGCCACCCTGAGAAACGCCACCACCCCACACTCACCCTGGGCTTTTTCATTTCTGGGCCCAGGGTCCTGCTGATTCCCCTGCCAAGTGTTATTGCCCCAGTTTATCCCAAAGTCTACACATCTTTCAAAGTGGGGATCAAAACTTCCTCCAGGAAGTCTTCTTTGACCACACCACCCTTCACCTAGAAAGGATCTCTCTCCCCAGGCTCCCATAGAAATTCATGTTAGCACTCATCATTCTATTTGGCATGGGAACTGGCTGTTTGAAGTGCCTATCCTTCCAATATTGTGATACTCCAGGAGGAAGGGGCCAGGTCTATTCTGTCTCTGGGAACACAGGGAAGAGTACGGGGCTGAGGTCACGAGTGCCTGTTGGATGAGATAGAACCACCACATTGAATCCCCCTCCAGTTACCCTTTTCCAGTGTCCCCAGACACACACACGCACACACACAGTACCAATACTGAGAATGGGTATGGAGGCTGCCCTGAGCTGACTCCAGTTTCCTCAGCAGGATGCGGATAATATTGAGAAAAAGCCCAAAGTTCACCTGGAAATAGAGGTATAGGAAGATGGAAGACAAGGGTCAGTGGGTATCCTTGGGTGGCTGGGATGAGCTGCAGCCCATTTGGGGACCAGAAAACTTAAATCCTTCAGACGTGAGAATGCAGATGGATGAACACACAGATCATTGCTCCAGAACTTGTGGCCTGGAGCTGGGAGTTCCCACATTTGAGCCATAGAGGACAGAGGAGGGCCCAGGACTCCTGTCCCTCTCCAGTCCTGGCATCAAAGAGGGGCGATCAGGCCTTGCCACCCGCCTATGACCACCACCCAGGCTCTTCTCTAGCACAAACCAGATGTCCCTCATTTTGCACAGTTGCTAAGTTGCAAAACATTTGTACATTTACCAAAGCCATGCAAAGCGGTCTTCACTTCCTCTGTGTTGTGTGTGGGAGCAGAGGGAGGCGAGGGGTTTAGCTGTGTGGTCTATTTACTGCCCCCACCCCACACCCCAACCTCTCACTGCAGTGGCAAATGAGCTGCAGCCAGCTCAGTAGACTCATCAAAATTGAGCTGGAACAGCCTACATGCTGGTGGAAACCACCACTCCTCCGGCTTTACAAATGCAATACTGAGGCCCAGAGAGGGCCTCACAGAGAATCAGTGGCAGAGCAAGGCTGGAGCTCTGTGTTCAAGGCTCCCAGCCTGGAGTTGCATTTCCTGCTGTGCACAGCCCCTCAGTAGATCCAGGGAGGTTGACTGGATAAAGCCAAGAACCATGGGCCAGGGACTGACCCCAACCGAGAGGACGATGGGCCCCTTGATGATCCACCAGTAGGGGGAGCTGTTGTCCAGGTCCCAGCACCTGGGGGGAGACGCAAGAATGCCATTGTTGAAATGTCCCGTTCACTGTGATGACCCAGTGGCACAAGTGCACCTCCCTCCTCTCTCAGGCATTTGTGCCTTCTGGCCTCACCCCACCTCCCCTCCAGCCTTCTCACCTGTCTCAGCCAGTTAGGGTCTCACCCAAAGGGGCACCCCAATCCAGGCTTGGCTCACCCTTTCTATCCACCTAGATGGACAAATGTTTCTGAACTCTGTCTGTTCGATGCCTCCTTCCTGGACCCTACATGTCCTTTTTCCAGGAGGGCCCCTGGCAGCTCTCCTACCCCACCTTCCCCCAGTCCTGCAGCCCTGGGAATCTGAGCTGCACTCTCCTGCCTGGCTCATGCCCCTTCTGTGCTATCCACAGAACATTCTCCCACCCCCCATCCTAGCCAGGCAGTCCCTCCTCCTCCTCTTCCCAGCCTGGAGAACAGCCTGTGGCCTGACAGTCCACACCACACCCTATGTACGCCCAGCGGGTGTGACGAGGCGGCCGCTCCGACTCACGCAGTGTCCTCGAAGGCCAGCTTGCAGCCCACCCACGTGCCAGTGAAGAGTACAGGCAGCCCTACAAGGGTACAGGGACACAGGAGTGAGGGGTCTGCATCCTTGGCTCTGAGACCTGGCCCCACCTCCCTCACCACCATCAGCCACTCAGGGCACTGCCAAGGCAGGGCCAGGCAGGACCCCAGAGTCAGGGTCCTGGTCCCACGCTCCAACACTTGCTGCCGGACTGTGGCCCATCCCTCCCCTTCTCTGGGCCTCAGAGTTAGCTGGAGGGGCCTTTATGTGAGCTCCCTGGACCTTCCCAGCCCAGTACCTTCCCATGGTGCCCAACCCACCCTGGGCACTCACCCCAGCCAGCGAGAACCAGCCACCAGAAGGCTCTCCTTGAGCTGGGGGAGGTGGAGGCCAGGAGGCAGGTCAGGTAGGCGGCTTCTGCCAACAGCCAGCTGAAGTTGGTCATGGTGGCGAAATGCAGGGCGGCCACGGAGACCTTGCATAGAACCTGGGGATGAAACTCAGGTGCTTCCTAGCTGGGACACCCACTGGAGCCCCACCCCAGTCACCTCTACCCTGCTCAGATACACAACCTCCAGGCCCCTCCAGCTTAGGCTGGGAACTCCGGCTCCTTGGGCCACCCGAGAGGGGATATGGTGATATACAGTAAGGGTGAAGAGCACAGATTTGGGATCTAGACTGCCTGGCTTCTAATTTACCGTCGATTTGCTGTGAAATCTCCTCACACCTTTGCTCTTCATCTGTAAAAGGAAAAACTTCCACTACCTAGCTCGTGTCCTTGTCATAAGGATAAATTAGAAACTCTGCCTAAGACTTGCTTCTATTTTCACTTACCCCATGCTTCCCGAGCTGAAGTCAACCCCGAGAGCTGTGACTGAGGCACAGCTCTGCCTTGCAAAAGCACACACAGGCCCCCGTGCATTCACTCACTCACTGCATGACCTGACCACCTGCCGGCATGGGAGCAGGACTGCCTCTGAGTTCAGTTGGCCCAGGTTTGGTCCCAGCCCCCACCCCGGGCCACTGGGTGACCTTGCCAATTGCCTCTCCTCTACAAAATGGGATGAAAGCGATACTTTCTTCTTCAAGCTGTTTTAAAAATTTAAGAGGTAATGCCAGCTGTCTCTCGAACCACACAGGTGTGAACTGCTGAAGTCCATTTACACATGGATTTTCTTCTGTCTCTGCCACCCCTAAGACAGCAAGACCAAGTTCTCTTCCTCCTCCCCCTCTGCCTACTGAACATAAAGGCGATGAGGATGAAGACCTTCATGATGATTTACTTCCATTTAAAAACACTACATTTATTTTCTCTTCCTTATGATATTCTGAAAATTGTTTCTCTAACTTTATGGTAAGAATGCAGTATATAACACATGTAACAGACCAAATATGTGTTAATCGACCATTTATGTTATCGGTAAGGCTTGAGGTCAAAAGTAGGCTATCAGTAGTTAGGTTTGGGGGTAGTCAAAAGTTATGCTTGAATTTTCAACTGAAAGGGGGGTCAACACCATTAACCCCCATGTTGTGTCAAGGGACAGCTGTACATGGTAAGCACCTATTGAAATTCCTGGCACAAAATAAGTGTTGACTATGAAGTATGATTAAATCTTTCATCAGTTAATTGAGGTCATATGTTAGTTTGCTCGCAGATTTCACTGTTCATTTCCAGCACACCTATAGGGAATCTAACAGGTTCTGGGTCTCCCCATTCTGCCCACCTCCCCTTCAATTTCAGTTGCCTCTTACTGTCTCCACCCCACCTCTCCCATGGTGTCTTCCCAGTTTCCTGGACATGGCCCAGGTCCTCCTGTCTTTGCGAGTTTGTTCACCCGGGTCCCTCCCCTTCACGTGTCCTCCTTCCCCATCTCCCTATCGTTGCTGCCAACACAGCTCCAGGGTCTCTTCCTCCCTGAAGCCCCCTCTCAGCTTCCTCTGTTTGGAGATCCTCTAATCTGTGTGCATTCTGTCCCTTGGGCACTTCCTGAAGGAGGGACCCAGCTCCCCCCGGCCACTTGCATACACACCCCCAGCACAGACCAATGAGTGCTCAGGGAGCTATCAAAGGAAAGGAAGAGGCTGTGCATAGTGAAACATGGTCTAGGTTAGACTACAGAACGCGGAGTACAGCATGCATGGAAAATTACATGGATCGACACCACGATCTTTCCCGGGAATGGCGTGTGAGGACTTAGGGTCTGACATGAGAGAGGGGCAGTTTCCTGTTCTGTGACTGGCCATGCCTGCAGCAGCCCCAGGGTCAGCCCACAGGGCAGGGCAGGCTGGGGCAGGCACATCTGGGTCTGTAATCCCACCTCCTCTCTCCCCCACCAGCCCATCCCCGCTGCCCACGGCCATTACGGTGGAGAAGCTGCAGTGGTCAGTGCCGTCGGCGTGGAAGAGGGCGGCATCCTTCAGGAACACAGCTCCCGCCTTGAGGATGAAGGTGGTGAACAGCTGGGTGTGGACGTAGTTCCGGGGACAGCGGAGCCTCCTGGTGTGAATGGGAGAAATGAGGAACAAGAAGCAAGCAGGGAGAGGGGATTCTGGTGTTCTGCGACTGGGCTGAGCAGGGCAGGAGATGAATCGAATTGAAGGCAATCAAGCAGAATTCAATCGAGCTGAACTTGAGGTTTCAGTTTAACCCTTGCAAGACAGCTGAGCAACCATTCCTGTGCTCAGGGTAGGCGTGGAAACAGAGGAATATCTGGTCCCTGCCTTGGCAGTGCTCATAGTCTGGGGGAACAGGGGCAGAAATGGTAGGTACTGCCCATGGGACCCCCTGGATGATCAGAGACACTCATCCCCATGAGACCAAGAACAGCACAGGCGAGATGTGGTGCTCAGACTTTGAAGGCTGGAGGAGGGGGTCAGGGGCTTAAAAGGGACAATGATCAGAGAGTTGTAACAGTCAAGAGGGACTCAGGAGGCGGAGGATTGTTAAATGCATATAGGAGCTGGGCTTTCTCAAATATAAACACACTGAGGAAAAATAAGGAATTCCAAGCAAATGCAATGAGTGCCACAGAGCAAAGGGGCGGAGGTCGGAGTGAGCTCTGGTGTTTGGAGGGATGGGTCTACACGCTGGGGAAAAGAGAGGGAAAGGCGGACATGGATATGCTGCTTAGATCTGGGAAGTTCATGGCTATCCAGGCAAGAAATCAGACTTGGCCCTCTGGGAAATAGGGAGCCAAGGAAGGTTCTTGAGCTGGTGATGAGGATGGCAAACCTGAGAGCAACCAGGATGGTGATGGCCACGAGGAGGGCCACAATAGAGATGCTATGGCCCATGGTGTAGACCATCTTCACCGTGGAGAAGTAAGATTTCTGGGAAGAGCAGAGACAGAAGAAAGTCTTAGCTTCTGGACCTTGTGGGGGAAAGAGAGGCTTGGCAGTCAAGCAGGTGAAGCATCTGCCATTCCACCCCAACACTCCCCATCTGGGGGCAGAGGTGTCCGCAGGTACCATGGAAACCTCCCCCTATGTGCTGAAGATTTAGTTTCCTGCCTGAGCCTCGGGTGAGGGAGGGGCGGTGGCAAGGAGTGGAGATTCTTAGCACTCACGATGCTGGGGGATGGAGAGAGGCAGCCACAGAAACTACGTGTCCCTGGGGAATAACAAAAGCCCAAGAGGAAATCAGCTTGTTTATTGACATCCAGCTTGGTCACCGGGCTTGGGAACACAATGTCCCCAAGTAAAGGAGACAGCCAGGGACACCTGGGGACAGCCACACCAGGCAGGCAAAAGCTTTCCATGGCCAAGTGTTTGGATCAATCAGTCCAGCCTGGCCATGAAGATAGAGGGTGCAGGCAAAGGAAGAGAGTAGGGCCCGGGCACTGGCACCAATCCCAGCTCTCCTGTGGGGCTCAGGCAATCACTGCCTGCCTCTGACTCAGTCTTCGCATCTGAAAAATGGTTACAGTCATGCTTCACCTTTCAGAGATCACAGGGATAGAGAAACGGCATGATGCGCGTGGGAGTGCCTGGCAAAGGCTCTGCGGGGCGTGCTGGCTGGTATTAGGAGCTTTTCGCAATCTCTCTAGGCTTGAGTTTCCCTCACTGGCCCACACCACAACCATGCACACTGCTCCACTGACTGAGGGCCACAGAAGAGAAGGAGCTTCCCCAGGGCTGCCAGGAGCCTTGTTTCCTCTGGAACCGCCCCAAGCTCCCTGTCCTGGAGGCTTGCACACTGAAGCAAGATAGCAGCCGACAGATCTCCCACCTGCCCTCTGCCCCACTTCTCCCTCCAAGTACCTTGGCTGGTGGGTCAGCCTCGAGTAACTTAGCAAAAGACCCCTCTCCTCCAGACACTTCACTGCCCTCTCTGGAAAACTGTAATATTCCAACCTGCAGGCCGGGGAAGGGCAGCCCCCACATTTGTGCACCCACCCATACAAATGTCCATGGCAGTCCTTCCTCCAAGATGCCAGGAACCTCTTACCTCCTCGGCCAGCAGCTCCAGGGGCACAGGGCAGGCCACGGGGTAAGGTGGAAAGGGCTCCGACCAGCCAGTGATGGTGCAATCCCGGTTCACAGCTCCTGGGAGACAAGCAGGACTCTCTAGCCACAACTCCTTCCCTCCTCCCAGGAGGGGTTGGGGTGCCATGGACCATTAAGTGACCCTGGCAGGGTTACTGGGACAGTTCCTCTCACCAACAAAGAGGGTGGCTCCAGAGGCCTGGGGCCCTGGTCCAGCCTGCCCAGGGATACACTATGGGGCCTTCTATCTCTGGCTTCAAAGGCACCATCTCTTCCCAGAGAGGGTTATTCCCCTGAGGGGCGGAGAGTGGTGAGCTGAGCTGCCAGCATCCTAAGGGCAGTGGGGGAGAAAAAAGGCCCTTGCTGTCCAGGCGCCCAGGCCAGGGAGGTGACGCAGAGCAGCAGGGTGCCCCACCCACCCCGCCCTGGGCAGCTGGTAGTGTCTTAGCAGTCAGGCAAGCCTGCCCTCCTCCCCGCTTGCAGTCTGCCTCCTGCTGACACCTTGCGGGCACCCAGGTCCAGCACTTCCAGGTTCTGCACTCTAATCCTCTCCTGCGCAGTTCACGTTCTTGTTCCCCCCAGTTCACAGCTCAGGAAACAGAAGTTGGGATCAACTGACTGGCCCGAGGTCGCCCCAGAAGAGGGCAAGTTGGTACAACCCCAGGTCTGCCTGCCCCCAAAGCCAGTGATGTGTCTGCCCCCCCTCACCTGGCACCCCACTCCCTTTCCCACCGCCACACCCAAGACCCCTCACCTGACTCTGAGCTGAAGTGAGAGAAGAAATCCGGGCAGGGGAGGGTGACCCACTCGCCAGAGCCTGCCGCCGGCCAGCACAGCAGCCCATCCCAGGTCCTAGGGCAGCCTGGATAGACAGCCAGGAGCAGGGGAGACTCGGTCCAGGCACGGGGCTGCCCCCACAATTCAAAGGGTAAGGCTGAAGGACATAAAAATCAGAGAAACTGCCATCTGCCTCCCAGGCCCCATACCCAGGGTGGTGTTGGGCGTCTCTTCTGCTGCCTGTAGACAGGAGCTCTCCTCCTCTCTCAACTGGGTGATGAAGTCACATTCTGGGTGCATGTGGCCCAATACCTGCTGGAAACAGTGAACAGGATGAGCCAGGCCAATTGGGTGCCCTTCCGGGCTCTGTGGTCCAAATGGCCTGAGAACAGGGACAAGGCCTGATTCATTTCTGTGTGTTGATCCTAAGCAAAGACCTGCTCACGGCACTTCCAGGTGTGTGCAGTGGATGTTCAAATACAGGGAAGGGGAGGGGAAGAGAAAAGCGGGAGGGAAAGGGATGGCTCTAATAATCTCCCTTGTAGTTAATACTCTTGTTCTAAGGAAGGAAGGCAGGAACGCAAGAAGGAAGAAAAAAGGAAGGCTGGCTGGCTCTAATCTTCTCCTGCGCAGTTAATGCTCTTGTTCTTTCCAGTTCACAGCCCAGGAGGCGGAGGTCAGGGTTGACTGACTTGCCCAGGGTCACACTGGAAGAGGGAAAGTTGGTATTATGCAAACCTGGGTCTGCCTAGGTTTGAGTGACTGTTTCTCCATTCTGTCTCATGGAAGTAAGTTCTGAGACACAGAAGACGATGTGCTTCTGAAGACCTTGCAGAGACAGCCAACTCCATGCTTGCCAGGGCCCTTCCTCCTTCCCAGTGTTACTCCTTGCTCTGCACTCCTGCTCCCAGGAAGCAATTCTGCGTAAGCTACCTTGGTAAACAGAACAATGGCCCCCAAAGGTGTCCACATCCTAATCCCTGGAAGCTGTGAATATGTCACCTTATATGGCAAAAGGACTGTGCAGATGTGATCGAGTTCAGGGTCTTGAGATGGGAAGATCATCCTTGACTCTCTGAGTGGCCCGATCACAAGGCTCCTTATAGGGGGTGTGCGGGGGCAGGAAAGTCAGGATCAGAGGAGGCGTCATGAGGATATGTGCTGTAGGAACTGAGATTTAAAGGTGCCCCACTGCTGGCTTTGAAGGAGAAAGGACACCAAGGCAAGGAAAAGCCAAGCAAATGGATTCTTCTCTAGTCTCCAGAGGAGTGCAGCTTGGCCAATCCTTTGGATTTATCCCACTGGAAATCATTTTAAATTTCTGACCTCTGTCTCAGCCTCTGCTTTTAGGGGTGCACATGGGCAGGAACATGTGAGAAAATAAGTTCGTGAGAGAGAAGATGGATGGATGAATGAGCACATGGCTAAGTGAGCACACAGATGAGGTGGAGGAGCAAACGAACGTGGATGCATAGAGGGAGGGAGGGAGGGAGGGATGCCTGGGCAGTTGGCTGGTGGAGTGGATGAGTATACAGACAGACGGAAGACATACACAGGGCTGGGAGGGTGGTGGATGGATGAATGGACAGATGGATGGACAGAGAGATGACGCGTGGATGGGTCCGTGGTGGATGAGAGAGCTGTGTAGGGATGGAGGTGTGGGTTCGTGGATGGGCAGATGAAAGGATCATAGCCTTGGTGGCTGAGCACCCTGAAAGATTGCAGTTTTAGGAGCTTCCCAGATCTTGTGCTACACAGTGTTCATGAGGAATGCTCTCTGGAAGCTGGAAACAAGTTGGATTTTTTGGAAATCTTCTAGCACTATTTCTGGAAGTGTGCCTCAAGAACCAACTAGAGATCCACTGGGACAGAGGCAGGAATATGCAGAGATCTAGGGTGGATCCAGCGCTTTGCATTTTCACAAGTTCTCCAGGGAACTGGGAGTCAACAGCAGGAATTCCTGGCACTTCTCCCTCCCACTGCCCCGAGCTGGAGGAACACCAAACTGATCACCCAGCAGGCCAGAGCCCAAAGAGATGCATATAAGGGGATCCAAGTTCACAAACACATTTTCTGCACTGTGAACTGGGTATACAGCATACATATTTGTGAATAACACACACAGCCAAGTCAACCAGTGTAGAATTCTGTTCCCCCAGGCTCTCACAGGAGAGGAGTGGCTGGGAAAGGAGGAAGGACTGGGTCCTAATAGACCCTGTGCAAACTGTGATCAAAACCAGGACAGGGGCCAGGCACAGTGGCTCACACCTGTAATCCCAGCACTTTGGGAGGCCAAGGTGGGCAGATCACATGAGGTCAGGAGTTCCAGACCAGCCTGACCAATGTGGCAAAACCCCATCTCTACAAAAATACAAAAATTAGCGGGGCGTAGCGGCACACTCCTGTAATCCCAGTTCTCAAGAGGCTGAGGTGGGAAGAAATGCTGGAACCTGGGAGGCGGAGGTTGCAGTGAGCCTAGATCATGGCACTGCACTCCAGCCTGGATGATAGAGCCAGACTCTGTCTCAAAAAAAAAGCAAAAAGAAGCAAGACATGTACCATGGGAGGGAGTGCCCCTCTCAGGGATTGGAGAGGTGACATTTGAGCTGAACCTGGGGACAAAGGAACATTTTTAAAGCCAGGCACACACAGTGAGGAGAAGAACATCTGAAACCAAAAGAACAGCATGTGCAAAGACAGGCGAAGTGGAAAAAGGTGTATTTGGGAAGTATCTGCCCAGGACTGATGTTTCTTTTCCCATGACCACACACACACACACACAGGCACACACGCACACACACACACACTTTCTCTCTCTGTCTGTCCAGCAGGATCCGTGTCAGCAAATGTTTTATTAACAGCTAGTGTTCTTTGGGATAAATGCAGGCACAGCAAATAGTGCAGCAGACCTAAGACGGGCTGGGGTCAGAGAGTAGAGACTTTGACCACCAGAGTGAGGACAGCAGACAGTGGGTGACCATATGGAGAGGCCCGAGAGCTCTGCCGTGGACCTGTGGGCTAGAAGAGGATCTGAGATCCAGCCCAGTAAGGAGGGTCACCGCCACCAGCACTGCCCTGGCAGAAGTCACTCCTGTCCCACCCCACTGACCCCATTCCCCCAAATCCAGCTTGGACCCAACTTTGCCATCCCCTGCTTAGCCCTGCAGGGCCTCAGGGTGCAGATGTCACCCACTACCCAGGCTCCAGGTCTCATTTTGGTGGGTACCCCAGACTTGGCTCTTGGCTTCCTCCCCAGGACTCAGTGGTCTCAGGGCAGAGCCCCGTTGTGTGTCCCCATCATCTCCCAACAGACTGAGGGCACAAAGCGGGGAAGGAAGGGCAGGAGGGCAGGTGGACCTGTATAGGACTTTCTTACACCATCAACCTGACATTGACCCTGGGCTGTTGAGAGAGCCATGGTCTCCGCCTATCCTTCCTCCTGCTACACGATCTGGAAAGCCCCAACTTTGCCTGGGAACCTTCTCGGGGCCTATCAAGGGGAACCTCTGAGGGCAAAGGACGCCATGTGAGCAGCCTAGGGCCAAAGGATAGATAGACAGTGCCCACACCGCTAAGAGAAGGAGGGAAATTTAGGGAAGTCCAACTAATGACTCGGGGTGTGTGGTCACAGGGCAAGATGGAAGGGAAGATTCTAGGGAGGGAAGTCGTGGGGGTGGAAAGACAGACCATTCTAAGATTTATCCAAATGCTCCTGCTCCATCAGGACTGGCAAAACACATCCTGGGTCTCCCAGTCACCCCTACACACTCCTGAGGGGAGGTTCCCGTGCCCTGGACCCCCAGGCCTGGCATGTGTGCCTGCCACTCTTCCTGGTGTCTGCAGGGGATGGAGCCCACACTGGCCAACCGTGATTTAGTTCTAGCTTTCGAATCAGCACCATCTGCTGAATGGCCACCATCAGGTCCTGGGTCCCTCTGCTGAAAATAAAGCTTTTGCTGCAGAGCACACAGATGGCCGCCAGGGGGCAGTCAGTTCCCTGCGTTGCACCCCTCTACCCAGCCCTTGACAAATCAGACTCCACTCAATGCACAGCAAACCTGGCTAGCAGATATATTCTCTTTTTACAAAAGAGATAAGGCTCAGGAAGGCTGAGGGACTTGCAGGCCACACGGCTAGTTTCACGGGTCCAGGATTCAAGCCCAAAGCCTGTGCGCTTGGGAGTAGGTGCAGCAAGGTGCTCGGGAGGGGCAGCAGCGCCCCAACAAGGCAGCAGAGGAAGAATACTTCAGCCCCCACCATCCCAGAACCTTGTGACTCCCATCCTGGTCCCTGCTGTCACTTGCAATAACTTCGTGGAAAGTTACTGGAAAATTGCAGCACATCTGGGAAAGGCTGTCTGTCCTGATGCTCCGTGCTCCAGCGCCCTAGCCCGTGGAGTAGTGTTTGGCTGCCAAAAGCCTCTCCGGCCCTCAGCATCACGACAGGATGATGGATCCCCTAACTGCTGGAGCAGAAGCAGCTGGTCTCCACCAACTCCTCAGGTTCTACTCCTTCCCTGGCCACACTGTCTTCAAAGGAAACCACCAAATTGGAGATGGCTCAGGGAGTCATGGGGCTAAGGAGGGGTCCAGAAATCTTACCAGGGGAGCGTGTGGAAGCATCGCGGATGCACAGAGGACAGAAAGAGCAGACTGGGGGAACTAAGAGGAGGCCTGACTTTGCCTCCCCAATTCTGAGGCACTGTCTTGGGGCAGACAGAGTCTCTGGTCCCCAGAGGGCACAGCCAGGCCCTGGGGAAAGCAACAGGAAGTCTGTGTTAATAGCGCTACCCAGAATCACAGCAGACTGCCTGGCAGAGGGAGATGAGTGGGGGTCCCCAGTTATCAGGAGTGCTCTAAGCCACAGCCTGCCACCTGCTCGTGGGGAGGGATTTTAGAGTGGGAGAAAGGCAGTAGGGTCTCTGCCAGGCTCCAGATGGCCCCATGATTCCCAAATCTGGAGCCTAGTAGGAGAGGCTTGAAGGTCTGAGCTGGCTACTCACGGTCGGTAACTGGCTCAACACGCAGAGGACTCGGGCCCCCCACATCCGGCGGTCCATGGTGGGCCCAGCAGCGGCTCCCTCCACCAGCCTCAGTGAGCCTTGGCTGTCTTCCCTCCCCTGCTGTCCCCTGACACAGCCACTGCCACTGCCACCACACCCTCTGCTTCCCCTTTTCAGGTGGCTGTTTGCATAGGCAGGAGCCAGCCAAGGGGACACAGCCCTCTGAATATTCACCAGGATTTCAGGACACCTGCTCAGCTCAGCCATGGCTCTGAGGTGGGACTCTGTTTCCAGCAGGCAGGGGCTGAGCCCCCACCCCCACCACCTTATATTCTGGCCATAAGTCTGCTCGTGTGTCTGTCCTGATAGCAAATGCCCAGAAAGGTGACTGCCCCTGGTCACTTGGTCAAATTCTCTACCACTTTCTTCTTTCTCTAAGCCCAGGTCTCTGGTGGCCATCAGATTGATGGGATCTTAAAGAATAGGAATGGGACCCGCACCTGCCCTTCAGAAGCCCCCAGATTACTTGACGTGGGATCCTAGCCTTAGCCACAGGGCTGGAGAGTGAGGTCAGAACTGTGCAGACCTGGTGGGGAAGGAGAAGGGTATAGTATCAGTGGAGATGGATGTCAGTGGAGATGGAGGGTTGGAATGGTCTTAGAAAAGGAAGGTGATCTCTAAGCGCTGGCATGGACTGACCAGGAATGTGTCATGTCAGCAAGACCCGGGTCCTGTACAGGGCAAGGACTCTAGCCTGGATGGTGGGCTGAAGCTGCAAACATCAAGGCTCTGGACCTCACATGGGGGCTTGTCAAAATCTCTCCAGAAACTCTCATGGCAAGAGGAGGAAATGAGGTTGGTTGGAAGCCTTGTGACACGATTCATGGGCCAGGCCATCTTGAACAGGGGGAGGACAACTCTCATAGGGAGCAGAAATGAGAGAAGACTTACACAGTCACTCACACTATACTGAATGTTCATCGCCTGGTTGCTTTTATTATAGTTTTAGACTTTAGAATGCATGATCTCCACCGGCCAGCTAAAGACAGTGTTCTGAATGCCCTGGATCTTGCACGGTATCTTGAAATTTCAAAGGCATCGTTTCTGAAAGACCTGAATGTCCTGGTAGCCGACAGGTCCTGATGTTTGTGCGCACATCCCCACTCAGAAGCTGCTGGGCTGGAAGCTACAACCCCAGACAGGTTTACGGCCCCGGTGCATCATGAATGTTGAAGGCGACTCGCCCCCGCCACATCTGGATTTAGGGCTCATTTGGACATCAGCAGGGCTTTATTTTTCCATTTCTGTTCATTGTCAACAACATGCTGAAGAAAAATATTTCAAAAAGAAAACATGAACCACCCCAAGCTTCAAAACCCTCCTACCTTGTGCGAGCATTTTCACGAGATGACCTGTGAGAACGGTGCAAGCAGCATGCCGCACAGAGCTCTGCACACTTTCACACTTGCGGGGGGGAGCAGAGCGCCTCTCACGGCAGGCTGGGAGCTCACAGGTTGGAAGAGCAGTGAGCTGAGAAGGTATAACCTGAAAGGAAAGCTAGAACCTTCTGTTCCTCAGCTACAAAGAAGCAACAGCACCAGGGAAAAAGGTCTTACAATTAATCACTGTTGATAATTAGCACCACTATCATTAGCATTAATGATGGCTAATAATTGAGGTTGATAGTGATCATTAATAGTAGTGATTACTGTCTAAACGACTGGTTCCTAACCTGGAGCAATTTTGCTTCCCTAGAGGACACTTGGCAATGTCTGGAGACATTTTTTAATTATGAAAATAAAAACTAGGAGTCGGGGTGGGGAGTGGGGTGAGGGGTGTCACTGGTGTCTAATGAATGGAGATTAGGGATGCTGTTAAGAATCTACAATGCACAGGATACCCCCACCCTCCACCATACAAAGAATTATCCGGTCCCAAAGATCAGTAAGACCAAGGCTGAGAAACCCTGCTCCACCTGTTCTGTTCCCCAAGGATCCTTGCAAGCCTGTTCCTTCATGGAGCTGTCTTCTCTAGCTAATTCTGTATACACTCAGGATTCACATTCTGCCTCCATCACTTGCTAGCTGTCATACATTGGCAAGTTATTTAGCCTTTCTGAGCCTCTGTGTTAGTCCATTTGTACTGCTATAAAGGAACATCCAAGGCTTGGTAATTTATTTTAAGAAAGACGTTGCTTTTGGCTCACAGTTCTGCAGACTGTACAGGAAGTATAGCACGGGCATCCACTGGTGAGGGCCTCAAGAAGCTTCCACTTATGGTGGAAGGTGAAGGGGGAGCCTTTGGTGTATTACATGGTGAGAGAGGGAGCGAGAGAGCAAGGGAGGAGATGTCAGTTCTTTACGAGCTCTTGCATGAACTAGCAGAGCGAGAACTCACCCATGACCATGGGGAGGGCACCAAGCCATTCACTAGGGATCCACCCCATGACCCAAACACCTCCCACCAGGCCTACCTCCAACAATGCAGGTCTATCTCAATATATGATTTGGTGAGAACAAAATATCCAAACCATATAAGCTTACATTTTCCCGTAAGAAAAATAGGGATGTTACTAACACCTTCTTGATAGGGTTGGTGGGAAGGAAAGCCGTGTACTATAAAGAACCTCATATACAGCCTAGATCACAGTGGACAATCATTTATGATGGCATGTCATGAAGATGGACTAACAGCAAATAAGATTGGAACAACTGATTCTTTGTATGAAAAAATCAGATGCGATCTCTAGCTCACATTTACAAAACATGAATTCTAGGTTTAAAATCCTAACTATAAAACAACAAATTCATAAAAATGCTTCAAAAAATAGAAATTTATTTTTATGGCCTTTGAATAAAGGAGATTTTCATATAAAATAAAACTCAAAGTAAAATAAAATGTGATCACATCAACATTTTAAAATGTATGTTCAAGAGAAGATGTCATAGATGAAAACTAAAAGCATTTTTCTGCTACAAAGAAATATTTCCAACCAGTCTTGACAAATCTGTAGTATCAAAAATATATTTTAAAAATATTTAAAACTCAGCCGAGCATGGTGGCTCATGCCTGTAATCCCAGCACTTTGGGAGGCTAAGGCAGGCAGATCACGAGGTCAGGAGTTCGAGACCATCCTGGTCAACATGGTGAAACCCTGTCTCCACTAAAAATATAAAAATTAGCCGGGTGTGGTGGCGCACACCTGTAGTGCCAGCTACTCGGGAGGCCGAGGCAGGAGAATCCATTGAACCTGGGAGGCAGAGATTGTAGTGAGTCGAGATTGCAAGCCTGGGCAACAGAGCAAGACTCTGTCTCAAAAAAAAAAAAATTTTTTTTTAATCAGTAAGAAAGAGAAAAATAACTCAGTAGAAAAGTGAGCAAAGGATATAAACAGACAATTGAGAAAAGAAGTGAAATATACAGGCCAATGAACAGATGAAGAAATGTTTAACATTGCTAATACTAAAGTATATGAAAATAAAAATAATAAGCTACCCATTTTCACCTATCACATTGCCTAAAACTTTCATGTCTGATAACACAGTGTCTGGAAGATGATGTAAAGAAGTGGGAGCATTCATAAGGTGCAGATGAGAGTGAATTTTGTATAACCACTTTGAAAAACAATTTGATATTATCTATTGAATTTAAGAATGAACATACCCTATAAGCCAGAAATTCCATTTCCAGATATTTGCCCCCTTTGTTCAGTGTTGTTTATAACGTAGTGAAAACCAGAAAGCAACACAATTGTCCAATGAGAAAGCAATAGCTAAACAAAATGTGATTTATTCATGCAATGGAATACTACCAAGCAGTTAAAAGGTATAAACTTAAATCTATGTGTACAAGAGCATTTCACAAAGTTCATGGAAATATGTAATTAAAAAAATAAAAAACATAAACTTTATTTCTCAACATAAGCTCCGTCAAGTTCAAGACACTTTTGTAAGCAGTGATACCAGCCATGTAGCTCGTCCCTAAAATACTGAGGGTCCCTGGAATTTAGCCATGTCAATGCAGTCTTTTTTACATTATTACCTAAAGAAAAATGGGTGCCTTTAAAAGTTTTTTTCGGATTGGAAAACAAAAGGATGTCATGAAAAGCCAAATCATGACTGTAAAGTGGATGTGTAATGATTTCCTACCAAAACTCTTGCAAAATTGGCGTTGTTTGATGAGAGAAATGAACAGAAGCATTGTGGTGGAGAGGGATTCTCTAGTGAGGGTTTCCTGGGCATTTTTCTGCTAAAGCTTTGGCTGTCTCAAAATATTTTCATAATAAGCAGATGTTATGGTTCTCTGGCTCCCCAGAAAATCAACCTGCAAAATAGCTTGAGCATCTCCAAAACTGTTTTCATCATGACTTTTGCTCTTGACCGGTCTCTTTGCTTTGACAGGACCACTGCTTTTTTTTTTTTTTTTTTAAGAGCGAGTCTCACTCAGTTGCCCAGGCTGGAGTGCAGTGTCAAGGTCTTGGCTCACTACAACCTCCCCCTCCCAGGTTCAAGCGACGCTCCTGCTTCAGACTCCTGAGTAGCTGGGACGACAGGCACACACCACCACGCCTGGCTAATTTTTGTATTTTTAGTAGAGACAGGGTTTTGCCATGTTGGCCAGGCTGGTCTCAAACTCCTGAACTCAGGTGATCCGCCCACCTCGGCCTCCCAAAGTGCTGGGATTACAGGCGTGAGCCACCGTGCCCGGCCCGACAGGACCACTTCTACCTCTTTGTAGCCACTGTTTTGATCATGCTTTGTCTTCAAGATTGTGCTGGCAAAGCCATCTTTCATCTTCTGCTACAAATCTTTGCAGAAATGTTTCAGGATCTTGATCCTGCTTGTTTAAAATTTCCACTGAAATCTCTGCTCTTGTCTGCAAGCTGATCTGGGTGCAATGTTTTTGGCAACCATCAATTGGGAAGTTTACCCAGCTTTAATTTTTCGGCTGGAATTGAGTAAACTGAACTGATCGAGATGTCTATGGTATTGGCTATTGTTTCTGCCATTAATCATCCGTCCTCTTCAATTAGGGAATGAACAAAATTAATTATTTTCCCCACAAATTGATGTGGATGGTCTGCTGCTGAAGGCTTTATCTTTAACATCATCTCATTCTTTCCTAAAAGGAATTATCCATTTGCAAACTGCTAAGTTATTTGGGA